GACAACAAGCAGCCCAGCCTGTGGGTCAGTTCTCCTGCCTGCAGGATGTCCACACACCTTCCTCCCACCTCCCAGCAAAGGCAGACCCACTCTCACAACAGTGATGCTGAGACAGCCCTTGAGACCCTCAGCTACAGCACAGATCCCCACAGGCCCCCAGGGACACTCACCTTGTCACCTGCAGAAGTCCCTTTTACTTTCCCCCGACAGCTCTTGAGGAGATCAGGGTAGAAGAACTCGGGGCAGCGTTTGTGGTCGGGCTCGAAGAGGGTCAGGGTGATGCGCACGGCCGTGGCCGCGGGCTCCGCCTCCGGGGGCTGCTCTGCCTCGTCCTTCCGAGACCTCTTCAGGAAGCTGCTGCTCAGGGGCCCGTGCAGCGTGGTGAACGAGACCCTGTGCGGCTCTGTCATGGCTATGGCCGAGCCTCACCAGGCCTCACGGCATCGTTCCCATCGCGTTCGGAGAGCTCTGTGGGGCTGCACTGCTGACTTCACCACGGTAACTGCGGTGCCGGCAGTACAACAAGCGCTTTGCTTTGGGAGTTTTCCTGGGAAGTGACAAAGGGCCGTGCTGCGGGTGCTTGCTGAAATCGTTAGAGAGAAAAAGGAGAGAAAGAGAGAAGTCAGTCCTTGCACCAGTCTTCCCTCCGACACTGGAAGTTCCTCGCTATCCCTCCAGCTCTCTCTGCTCACACCACAGCGCTCCGTAAGGGCTGAAGGAAATCCAGCTGCGGGGAAACAAAACGAGCCCGCCAGACTGGCAGTGACGCGGCGCGGAACACGGAGCCGGGGCTGCACCTGCCGGGCCGGGGCTGCGCTGCGGCCGCCTGATCTCCCGCTGCACGGAGGCCCGCTCACCGCTCACCGCTGTCTCTGGGACAGCGGCCGCGGCGGGGGCCGAGCCGGGGCCGGGGCTGCGCGGGGCCCGGGGAGGCAGCTCGGCCGGAGGGGGGCCCGAGGCCGCGGTGCCGGTGCCGGGTCCGCCCTCTCCCGCTCTCCCTCACTCACCGCCGGCGGGAGCAGCCGCCGCTCCGGGCCCGCTCCGGCCCCGCGCCCGCGTCACGTGGGCGGTGCTGCCCTCACGCCGGGCCGCGCGCGCCACGACCAATCAGCGATGGCTCCGGCGGCCACGCCTCGCACCGCGACCAATCAGCGGCCGCCGCCGCGGCCACACCTCGCGGGAAAGGCTCGCGGACGGCTGGCCCTCACCACGTGATCGCGGCGGGCCAATCCCCGGCGCCGGCACCGCCCCGTCCCGGCGGCCCGCGCGCGGGGCGGGAGGGGCGGGAAGATGGCGGCGGCGTCTGAGGGAGCGGCGGGGTGCGCTCCCAGGGACTGTCCGCAGGGGCTGCCCGCGCCCTCCGCTCACCCGGCAGCGTTCGGTGGAGCCTCACAGCAATCAGTGGTGTGAAGCCTCCAGGAAGCTGCGTTCGTCCTGCCCCTCGTGTCCCTTAAGCAGGCTCAGGTTTCTTCCATGGAATGAAATGCAAAGCGGGGAATGTGTGTAACGATAAGGGCCAGCGGAGTAATGTAATGTATCCGTGTCTGTAATGGCTCGCGGGTGTGGTGCAGCCTGTGCTGGGACACCGTGGCTGCAGAGGACAGAGTGCCGCAGGCCCTGGAGCTGGGCAGGACGGGACACGGTGCGTCCGTCCCGGGGCTGATTCATCCGGGACCTCCCCGGTGTTTTCCGGGGCTTGGGGAGTCTGGACAGTCTGTGTTGAGTGGCAGGTGCTAAATGTCCGAGTTCTGAAGCAGACTTAAGGAAGAAGATCCCTGAAATCTGAAGCCTGTCAGTGCCACTTCAGTGTTAAAATCCTGGGGGTTGTTTAGGGAGCTGCAGGCAGCAGGCATGGCCGTGTGGGCTCACAGGGGAAGGTCCTGCTTCATTTAACTCCCGACTGGGAGAGGCTCAGGCACTGATTCCCCAGGCACAGAACACTGCCAGGGCCCACAGTGGCTCACCTGGCCCCAGCTGCTGGGGCAGGGCCAGCCCAGGGCACGGGGCTGTGCCCAGACAGTTCTGAAACACCTCCAGTAACAGACACCCCGCTGCCTCTCTGGGCAGCCTGTTCCAGTGCACAAGGAGGTTTTTTTGTGTTCATTTGGGACTTGCTGGGCTCAGTCCCTGCCCGTGGCTCTGGTGCCATTGCTGGGCCTGGAGCAGAGCCTGGGCCCTGCCCTGCCCATCCCTGCACCCAGGGACACCCAGGGCTGAGGTCCCTCTCAGCTGGGGCTCCTCTCCAGGCTCCCTCAGCTTTTCCTCACAAGAATTTGCTCCAGGCCCTTCAGCATCCCCACAGCCCCCCCCCAGACCTGCTCCAGGAGCTCCACGTCCCTCCTGTCCTGACACAGCATTCCAGGTGAGCCTCACAGGCTGGCAGAGGGGCAGGATCCCCTCCCTCACACCCCCAGCAGCCCCCCAGGCTGGTCAGGAGCAGTCAGTGTCACCCCCTTCTCCACAGAGCAGCAGCCCAGCCCTGCCTGGTGCCTGGGTTGTTCTCCCCTGCTCTGGCCCGTGCTGCATTCCAGAAGGTTCCTCTGTGCCCCTCTGCCCTGTCAGGGTCCCTCTGAAGGGCCACACAGCCCTCTGAGGTACCAGCCCTCCAGCCCAGCCCTGCCTGGTGCCTGGGTTGTTCTCCCCTGCTCTGGCCCGTGCTGCATTCCAGAAGGTTCCTCTCTGCCCTGTTAGGGTCCCTCTGAAGGGCCACACAACCCTCTGAGGTACCAGCCCTCTTGCCAGCCCCGTGTCAGCCATCTTTGGGAAGGCAGTGGTGGTTTGGGGTTTTAGCAGAGCTTTTGGTCCCATCTCCAGCACTCTCTTGGGTCAGCTGTCCCTCACACAGCTCCACCCTGTGCATGGGTGAGCAGGCAGTGCCAGGACAAGCTCAGAGGATTACAGTAAATGGGGTCACATCAGGAGTGGCCCAGTCTTCCCAGAATTTCCAGGGATGTAGGGGAAGGGGCCGGAACATCCAAATATCCAAAAATCCCATCATTTGGGTGGGTGGATGTGGCAGCAAAGCTGGGATGAGGCTGGAATGAAAGGACACCCCTCCAAATCCAGGGAAAATGGGGAGAAAATCCCATTATTCCCATGGAAATGGATTTTCCAGGGCAGTCACCAGTGGGGTTACACAGGGCTCTGTCTTGAGGGCTGGTGCTCTTGAATGTTTTTGTAAATGCTCCAAATCCAGGAATTTGACATACATTGAGCAGGTTTGCCAACAACAGTGACCTGGAAGGGGCTGTGGAGCCCCAGAGGGGCTCACAGGGAGCTGGGCAGTCTCAGCCTGTGAGATCCAACAGCAGCACCTGGGGCAGGGCAGCACAGGCTGGGGATGGGGCTGGAGCAGCCCAGCAGACACCTGGGGCTCACAGCAACTTCAGAGCCAGCAGTGGCAGCCAAGAGCTGGCTCTGCCCCGGGTGCAGCGTGGGTGAGGGAGGGGATTGTCCTGCTCTGCACTGGGGCTGGAGCTCTGTGACCCCATTCAAGGGGCTGCTCTGGGGGCCCTTTCCCTGCAGCTGCTGCTCCACTGTGCCCCAGAGTGGGACGAGGTCATGGCAGACACCAAACCTACACACACAGAGAGGAGAGGAATGGCCTGGGACTGTGGCTCAGCGAGTCAGGTCCTGTGTCTGACTGGGGTTCAGTGCACTTTGAAACCAGGAGGCATCTTCAATCTCATCCATGCAGACAGGAAAAGAGGGATCCTTCAGGAAGAGCCAGTGGCAGGAGATGAAGCTCAGCTATTTGGACAGAGTTTTCCTGTGTCAGAGCTGGCGGCTCTTGGTGCCAACAGCTTCTCTCAGTGCATCTGTTAAACAGCAAACGTGGCCTTGCTCCCACTGGCTTCACACCTCAGTCTTCACCATCGCCTTCTCCTGCAGCCCTGCTGCAGCCAGACTCCAAGTTCAGCCAAGTGGACAAGTTCCAGAAACAAATGGGATCTCTCAGGTATTTAGAGCTGGACACAGGTGCTTGGAGAAGGCCCCAAGGCAGGAGGAGCCTTGGCTGAGGCAGCTGGACAGCCCCACTGACTGGAGGGACACCTCCCACCCCTGCCCTGCTCAGCCCCACACTCTGGGGCCAGCAGGGAGCAGGAGTGGGGGTGACTTCACTCTGCTCCCCCAGAGCTGCCCTCATTCCCCAGCACCTGCACAGCTGAGGACCCAGAGGACAGGCTCTTAGGGCACAGGTCAAACTCATCCTGCACACAGGAAAGCCCTGGGCATCTTGTTCCCTCAGTTTAACTGTGTCCCTCTTCCATGCAGGACTCCTTGTCACTGTCCCTGTCCTGGTGAGGCTGCACAGGGAGCTCAGACACAGGGACAGCTCATGGTGGTGTCCAGCCCGTTACAAACTGGTTTCCAGATACCCTCCCAGTATGAAAGCTCCACTGCAAACTCTCAGCAGGACAAGGAAGATCTTGGCACCTGCCAGAGCTCAGTGCCAGCACTTCACAGCCTCTGCACAAGAGAGAGCTAAATACTCCCCTAAACAGTCCTTCCTGAGCCCCAGATCCACAAATCCTTCCTGCCTCACTCTCCCAGTTCTACTCCTACGGCTGCCCCAGTGCTGCTGCCTCACACCAGTGACCATGGAGGGACAGTCTGGGTCAGGCTGGGTCAGGCCCATGCAGCCCCAGAGAACCAGAGCAGGCCTGCAGGAGCTGCTTCCCTCCCCCAGCAGCCACAGCCCAGGAGCACAGCCTGAGGAATTGTGCGTTCACAGCATTTGGAGACTCCTCCTTCCACAAACTCACTCATCACGTCTGAAACTGGGTGAGCTTTGGCCAGCCCCAGCACCCAGGGCTCCCAGCAAGGGAGAGAGAACTGTCCCATCCTTCACTCCTTGTCTTGGCATGAACTCCAAAATGAGAATTTGCTCCCTGATCCTACAGCAGCCCAATTCTTTAAGAGCCTTTGGTGAAAAGCCTTCTAGAAATGCAGGTAAATTGTCAAGCCCATCACCTTGTGACCAGCACCTCTCCCAGCAGCAAGGAAAACACCTTCTCCTGCTCCAGGCAGGGATGAGAACACCCAGGAATGGGCCAAGAGCCCAAGTTTTGCTTCAAAAATTAATCAGCTTGAGCTACTTGGGATTTAAGATGCTGCAGCAAACAGAGCAACAATACCAACTACTTACTAGAGCAGAGAGAAAAAAAAGGAAGAGCTCCCCTTGGCAGGAGCTGAACCAGAGTTCCACACACAGCCCAGCTCCCAGGACCCCACAGGCAGAAGGGGAATCCCACAGAGGATGTGCAGGCAGCCCCAGCAGTGCCAGGAAATGGGTGGAGGTGTGCTGTGTCCCAGCAGGGCACTGAGGTGCTGCTCACTCGTAGATCCAGTGTGCAGCCGCGTCCTCCCAGCACGGCAGCTCCTCGGGGCGGAACCAGAGCGAGATCTCCTGCTGGGCACTCTCCACCGAGTCACTGCCATGGATCACGTTCCTGTGGGCAGGGACAGAGGCAGCAGCTCTCACCAAGCTGGCAAAGGGATGCTGCAGCCTGCAAAATTCCCCCTTGATCAATTGCATGAAATCCATGCAGCCAGTCCTATCCCATAATACCCTCTCCTGTCAGACACCACTCATCCTTCCAGCAGTGCCAGTTCCCAGCACTCCCCCCTCCTATGCTGAGGAACCTTTTGTTTACTACAGGAGGAGCTGCAAGTGGCTGTAGCACTGGGATGTGCATTTTTTATGTCAGTGATTCCAGCTGTGCCTCCAGATTTTCCCCCTTCCATCAAAGCCAGTTTGGTATCAGACACCAGGAGACAGATCTAAGGCAGGATGGTTCAGTAAGAGCTGTGTCTACCTCGGGCCAGGCTGGGGCCACCCAAGGTCACCACCCATGGATATTCACCTTTGCCTCCCTTCCTCCTCACAGCCTGACAGTCCTGATTAGCAGAGGAAAACAGGCAAAGCCCACCTGCTTTCAACAGAGGACTCAGGAGGAAGGAAAGACACAACCCAGGCTCTTCCTCCTGTTAAAGCCAACCCTGGGAAGCAGAGCTCAGCTCTGTCCGAGCACAAAAGGGAGAACTTCTGCTCTGGGAATGCAGACTGATGTGGCTCGGGCAGGCCTGGCACAGGAATGCCTGCACAGGACGCCCTCAAACACTGAGGGAAGAAGGCAAAGCTCTCACTTGCTGACTTCAACACAGAAGTCTCCTCGGATGGTGCCAGGCCTGGATTCAGCTGGATTGGTCTCCCCAATCATGGTGCGAACTGTCTTCACCACATCCAGGCCCTGCCAGACCTACAGGAGAGCAAAACCAGAATCAGCTCCCACAGCTGCCCCAGCAGGTCACATCTGCCCTCTGAATTCCCCACCGGATCCACCGGGTGACAGACAGCAAAGGGTCTCTCCAAATTATTCTTCCAAAGTTGATTTTGGAAAATAATCCAAACTGTCTGCAGATTTCTCCCCACCCCTGGAAGTGCTCAAGGCCAGGGTGGATGGGGCTTGGAGCAACCTTGCTCTAGTGGAAAGTGCCCCTGACATGGCAGGGGGTGGAATGAGACCTTTAAGGTCCCTTCCAACCCAAACCATTCTATGATTTAATTTACAACAGAACACATCCCTGAAGTTCAGTACAGCTTCCAGAGACCCTCTGAGGAGGGATATCACCTTACTTCCCCTGTGCCAGCAGCCGCTGCTGCTCACACCCTGCACTGTGTCCCTGTCCCGGGGCCAGCACTCACCATGGCCACGACGGGCCCGGAGCTCATGTACTTCACCAGGCGGCCGTAGAAGGGACGGTCCCGCAGGGCCACGTAGTGTTCCTTCAGCAGCTCCTCCGAGGCCTGCACAGAGCACAGAGCTCAGTCTGCTGCCACACGGGCACCGGGGCACGGGCTGCGCCTCAGGGATGCAGGAAATTAAGAGAATGAAGCTCTGGCACAGATGCCCAATTGCAGGAGTGAAACAGCAGGAGCCTGACACAGGCGTTTCCAGCTGCCAGCTTAGCGTGCCAGCCCTGGAGAACAGGCACAAACAAGGGCAGACATGCTCCCCGCAGCTGGAATCACCCTCCCAGTGCCAACCCTCCTCTGAGCTGCGAGGATGTGGCGCTGGAATGACACCTGCAGCCCGTACAGGCCGGATGACAGGCAGAACCCCCAGCAGGTCCCAGCACAGCCAGGGCTTGGGGGCTGCAGGGGCTGCTCGAGCCCAGGGCCCCCAGCCGGGGTGGGCCGGGCCGCTCACCTGCAGCAGCTTCATCCCCACGAGCTGCAGCCCCTTCCTCTCGAAGCGCCGGATGATCTCCCCGACCAGGCGCCGCTGCACCCCGTCCGGCTTGATGGCCACGAAGGTTCGCTCATGGACCCCGCCGCAGGCTGCAGGGACAGGGCACAGGTCTGAGCGGGGAAGGGGACACCTCCGGGCCCTCAGCCGTGGGGGCACAGCGGGGTCCCAGGCTCCCCAGGGCGGTCCTGGCCGCAGAGGGCACAGGGACACGGGGCCTGGCGCCGGCCTTCAGCCGCGGGGTCTCTCCCGGGGCAGGGAGGTCCCTGAGGCACAAGGGGAGCGGGGGTCCCCGGCCCTCAGACCCGGCGGGGGTCGCGTCCCGTTGCGCACCGCTGTGGAAGAGGCCGGCGAAGATCCCCAGCACCAGGCAGATCATGGCGGCGCCGCTCTTAAAGGGGCCGCGCTGCCCCCGCGCTGCCACCGCCCCCCGCGGAACCATCGAGCCGGGGCCGCGGAGCGGCGGGGCCGACACAGGGGACACCGACACGGCCCGTTCCCATGGCAACGGGCGGGCCCGGTGCGGGCCCGGCGGGCGCCCCGCGCTCCACCGGGAGAGCTGACCCTCCTTGCCGCCGCCCCTGAGCTCCCCTGTGCCGGCGGCAGCGTCCCGGTGTTTGTGAGACTGTTTGGCCTCCGCTGTCTGTGTCGCTGCGGTCGCGGCTGCACGCTAGCGGTGCCTGGAGCAGTCGGTGTGCGGGCTGAGCAGCCCCTCAGCCCCAGCCCCGAGCTGCCCCGGCCGGGCCGGAGCAGCAGGGCAGGGCTGCAGCCCGGCTCGGAGCTCCTGTACCGAGCACATGCACTGAGTCCATTCCGGGCTGGCAGACCCGGCTCTCAGCCTCAGGGTGCGAGCACTGCGCTCCAGGGCTCCATTTCCCGCTCTCAGGAACTCACCTCTTGCTTCAGCTCCCTCCAAAATCAGCCTCTGGAAACAGCAGTGCATGAATTACCTGCACCAGGTGCCCTGTGCAGGGCTGGCTTGGCTCCCGGAGCTGCTCGGGTGCCTCATGGGGCGCTGGGTCCGCTTCCACCCTGTGTTCAGAGAGAGTTCTGCTCCCTCTCCTCCCTTCAGCTCTTGGCTGGGACAAGCAGGGATCCAGCTGCTTTATCCAACACCGTTTGGAGTAAATTATTCCCGCGTTTGTACAATCAGTAATTAATGGTTGCATCCTGGAGCTCCAGAGCTTTGCCCGAGGGAAGCCGAGCCCTTTGCTCCAGCGCAGCGCTGCTCCGGGTGTTATCCTGCCTGGAAAAGGCTTTCCGGGATGGACTGTCCCTCGTGGAGCCGCGGGCACTGCCCGGGAGGCGAGGGCGCAGCCGGAGCCCGGCCCAGAGGCCGCTCCCGGGGCTCCGGTGCCGGCAGAGGGAGCGCCGGCAGCGCGGAGCAGTCCCGGGCATCCCTGAAACATCGGGATGCATCCCTAAAACATTCAGGTGCGTCGTTAAATGGCAGGGGGTGGAATGAGACCTTTAAGGTCCCATCCCTAAAACATTCAGGTGCGTCCCTAAAACATTCAGGTGCATCCCTGAAACATCGGGATGCATCCCTAAAACATCGGGGTGCATCCCTAAAACATTCAGGTGTGTCCCTAAAACATCGGGATGCATCCCTAAAACATTCAGGTGCATCCCTAAAACATTCAGGTGCGTCCCTAAAACATTCAGGTGCATCCCTAAAACATTCAAGTACGTCCCTAAAACATTCAGGTGCATCCCTAAAACGTCGGGATGCATCCCTAAAACATTCAGGTGCGTCCCTAAAACATTCAGGTGCTTCCCTAAAACATTCAGGTGCTTCCCTAAAACATCGGGATGCATCCCTAAAACATTCAGGTGCTTCCCTAAAACATCGGGATGCATCCCTAAGACATTCAGGTGCACCCCTAAAACATCCAGGTGCATCCCTAAGACATTCAGGTGCATCCCTAAGACATTCAGGTGCACCCCTAAAACATGGCTGGGATCTCCAGGCGGTGCCAGCCCTCCCCTCGTGTTCCGAGGGCCAGCCGCGCAGTTTTGTTGGAGCATCTCGGAGCAGCCCCGTGTGGAGGAGGTGTCTGTGCAGGCAAGCAGCGCTCAGGCGCTTTGGAAAGGATGCAGAGCGCTCTGAGGAGGGTGCCCGATAGATGGTGTCAGCTCTCGTTTAGCCGCTCATTAAGAGCACATTGTCCATGTGCTGCCCGTGACATCTGTGTGTGCCCAGCCTGGTGTGCCGGAGTGTCGTAGTTGAGACGGAGACAATGCAAAGCCACACTCCATCTTCAGAAGGCTTCAAACGTGGTTTTATTTCAGCATGCATGCTTTTTATACATTCTTCAAAACTCCTAAGTTTGCACTTTGCTCATTGGTCAGGAAAGACAAAGAAAGTGTTTATTGGAATAGACAGTTGCAGGTTTCTCTTATTTATCCTTCTTTTTTTCTTGGTTTCTATGTCAACGACCTTGATAGGAAATTCTTCTGGGGCAAACATAGATCCTCTTCTCAAACTTCTCTCTGGCTGACAGAAGTCAGTGTAACACCTCTTCCACACAGGAGTGGCAGTGGGGCTGAAGGAGGGTGGCAGCTGGTGAAACCCAGCTTCCTAACTGATGGCTGCTCTCAGGCTTCCTTCACAGAAGGCTGGTTCAAAAATAACGATGTTGCTGCCATTTTAGTAAGATTTATTCCAGGACACTTTTCAAGGTGCCTGCAGAGGTGTCAGTGATGAAGTCAGCAGCTCAGTCCCCAGCCCAGCCAGCACCACTGGCTGCAGGCAGCCACACTTCCACACAGGCAGCAGCCCTCATTTCACACTTGTTTCATTTCTGCTGTTTGTCAGGGCTGATGGAACACCTCGTCTTCTCATACCAGGGTTGTTCTGTCATTCTCCACAGGTCTCCTCAAAGATCCTGGTGCAGGAATTTGGGTGCAGGATTTCATCTGCTTGGACTGTAAATGTTCTTTTGAGCCTCAGGGAGTTCCCTGGAGCAGAACTTGGAGGAGAAACTTGTCAAACACTCTCCACTTGGGTGAGTCCTTCTCCTCTTCTCTGGCAATGCTGTGCTGTGGGGAGAAAGCTTTGACTTCCCTCTCCAGAAGCCCAGAAATGCGGATTATTGGTTTCCAGGTGGCTTGGGAAATGGAGCTGGGCCTGATTCCCAGGCAGATTCTTCCTGAGCCAGTGTCTTTTAGGCACAGTTTTAGGCAGGTGTGTATCTAGGGTGAGCACAGGAAGCTGCAGTAAGCAAGAATGAGACTACAAATCCTTCCTACAGAGCTTTCACTTGGGTGCTCAGCATTCCCAGCCCAGATGTGTGCATGGAATGGTGCCACAGGCAGCAGCTGCACACCTGGAAGGGCTGAACAAATTTGCTGCCTCGTTTGGAAAGCTCAGTGATCACCTTTTGAACCCCTGACTGGGAACCTGAAAGGCCAGGTGCCTGGTGGCACCAAACACCTTCTCATTTCAGGGGGAAGGTTCAGTGTGGGGGATCCCAGCGTGGCAGGGCAGCTGGGAGGGGCTGTTCCCCTGCTCGCCCCCGCTGCAGGAATGTCAGGCGGAGGCAGAACTCTATTTTTGCTCCTGCTGGAGAGAACATTGCAGATCCTGCTGTTATGTAAAAGCCTTCAGAGCACGTAGGTGCAGATAATGTGGCCATCCAACACTGTGCAGTGCAGACAAAGGCTTTTTGTCTCCTTTCATCACATTTAGCGACTTCTGAAGTTGGCACTGCCTTCCTTCTCAGGCTCTTTTTGCACCTTTTTGCTTGTTTGGGGAGGATTTTCACCTCCCAGTTCAGCCATGGTCTTTCACCAGCACAGCACTGGCACAGCCTGCAGTGTTGCTGCCTCTCACAGTGTGGGCTCTGCACAGGTGCAGACCTGTCTGCTCTCGTCCTAGACCACTGATCCTGCTGGGAATATTTCACCTTTAAAGATAAAGAGGGGTTGGTAGAGCCAGAAGATCTCCTGAAGCACCTTTAGCTGGACACAGGGGATACAGATGTCAGAGGCAGAGCTACACAAAGTGCTCCACAGCAAGGGACATGGAACAGACAAGAGGATCCTTTCCAAAGAGCCCTTGCTCCACCCTGGAACAAAGCTCTGATACAGAGGGGGGTGCTCTGAAAACCAGGAGTAGCTGTTTGAGTACAGCAGGAGGTCTCCAGGGATACACCTCTAACCCCAGGAGAGGTGCTGCTTCCTCAGAGGGAACAGCTCAAACCAGATTTGCCTTTCCTTTTTTTGGCTTTTCCATTCTCATGGAGTCCATGAAAGATTTCCTGGAAAGAAGCACTCAGGGTACACAGCCCAGGGAAACACTTGCACTTGGAAGCAGAGGTTTGTGTTCTCACTTCTGTGCAGTGCTACAGCATTTTATTTATACCTGTCTGGGCAGCCTGTGCTTCTTCCCTGAGAAATTTCCAGTCCATCCAGTTCCCTGCAAGGCCAGAGAAGGACAGGCTGGAATAGGCAGTGCAGTGAGGAGCTGGGTGCTGGTGCTCTGGAGGTGAGCCAGGAGGGCAGCAGGACACTGCCTGCTGTTCAGTGCCCTGAGAGATGTCCACGGCCTGGAGCCCTTGGCCTGAGCTCTGAGTGTCACTTGTGTGCTGCTCCCAGTCCTGGCTCCTTCCTGTCCTGTAGGTGCACAGCAGAGGAGTGTCCCCTGTGCTGATGCTGGGGTCACATCCAAAACTCCTGCACAGGTGCAGCTGCAGTAGCTTGGTCTGTCCTGTTCTGTCTGGAGTGATTAATAGAATCCCACAGTGGTTTGAGTTGGAAGAGACATGAAAGCCCATCTCATTCCACCCCTGCCATGGCAGGGACACCTTCCACTGCCCCAGGCTGCTCCCAGCCCTGCCCAGCCTGGCCTTGGGCACTGCCAGGGATCCAGGGGCAGCCACAGCTGCTCTGGGCACCCTGTGCCAGGGCCTGCCCACCCTCACAGGGAACAATTCCTGCCCAATATCCCATCCAGCCCTGCCCTCTGGCAGTGGGAGCCATTCCCTGTGTCCTGTCCCTCCATGCCTTGTCCCCAGTCCCTCTGCAGCTCTCCTGGAGCCCCTTCAGGCCCTGGCAGGGGCTCTGAGGTGTCCCTGGAGCCTTCTCCTCTGCAGGTGAGCACCCCCAGCTCTGCCAGCCTAGCTCCAGAGCAGAGGGGCTCCAGCCCTTGGAGCATCAGGGATGATTTCTCAGGGACAGCTCCTCAGCACCTCCTCAGTTCTTCACCTAAGCCTGTGAGGATGGATGTTTTTGTATAAAAACCCCTCTGTGGCCTGTGGAGTTCTGCCAGCAGAGGCAGCCAGTGGGTCTCACCATGGTTTGGGGTCTCCTCTCACAGGGGAGCTGCTGCCAATCCTTTATCTCCAGCTCCAGGTCAGATCTGAGGTGGCAGATGTGGGACTAAGCCTGACCTTTCCCTCTTTACAGACAGCAGCCCTGGGGTGTGAGTGTGTGGGGCTCCTGCATGAGCCCTGTGCCCAGGGCAGGGCAGGCAGCACCCCCTGAGCCT